CATAAAAGGGTTAAACTTGCCCTAGTAAACCTGATAAGCAAAAGGAAACACATAGTTACTTACCAGGATCCCGATTGATTTCCACATCAAAGTAGCACTGGGGTCGGGCTTTCTCTCCCATCTTAGCTGATATATAATGCTGAAAAAAAAATCTGACATACTAATACATCCAGTACGGCAGGTTCTGCCTCCTCAATCCCCTCCCTGCAGGTACATCACACAGACACATCAACTTCCTCATATGAAAATAAAAGAGGACGGCTCAGCTCTGATGTGCACATGAAATCACCTGTCTGTGCGTCCCTACCGTACACGTTACACCACATACACGCGCGCACTCACACACACACGCACGCGGCCGCTGGATCTGCAGGTTCAATATATGAAAATGAGCAAATCCATCAGGCAAATGACTGAGGGCGTCCTGCAAAGTCTTAAAGGGCCAGGCTACCTAAAAGGGATATTTCAGTGGCAGGTTTGTTTCCTCGCTCGGCTCCTGCCTACATAGGAGTGCTGGGTGTTCCCTCCCCTCCTCCTGATATAAAAGTCAGCAGGGAGAGTGGGACCCCATGCAATGGCCGCAGCAGACTATGCAGACCGAGGTAATCATGAGCGGGGCAGACAAGAGATAAAAGAAAGTCGTACGTGTTTCCCTTTTAGATTTGGGCATTGGACGGAGTTGAGTTCATTCTGTAGTTCCATAAACAACGCACAATGGGGACGCATTTAGTACCTTCCTGTCTCTGCTACAACACATTATGTCCAGAGTGCTCTCTAACCCGCCGTGGTGCCTGGGTGTTCTACATACGCCTCAAAAGTATACAGGCCGTATGCAGTACTCCCTGCCCTTCTGCCGCTTCATACGTGACGGCAACTCCCGGCTGTCAAAATGACAGCCGAGAGTTGCTGTGCAAATACTACAGCTGTAATAGCAGATGCTGTCAAACTAGCAATGTTTATTATTATTATAGAGAGATACAAAGTAACATTTATACTAGGGATGCACAGATACAGGTATCGAGTACCGATATTCTTTTTTTTTCGGTGCTCGCCGATATCAACAACCGAGTACCGGAAGTCCCATTCAGGAAGCCAGGCGGCGTGTAATGACTCGCCACCCGGCTTCCCGATTAGCAGGGAAGCCCTCCCCATGCTTCTCGTCACTAGGTGACGAGAAAGCATGGAGCCGGCTTTCTGGCCAATCAGGAAGTCGGGCGCCGTGTAATGACCCAGCGCCCGGCTTCCTGATTGGCTGGGAAACCTCGTCATGAGGTGAAAAGGGAGCATGAAGCCGGCCTCCTGGCAAATCAGAAAGCCGGGTGCCGCGTCATTACATGCTGCCCGGCTTCCTGATTGGCCGGGAAGCCCGGCTCCATGCTCCCTTATCACCTGTGACGAGGGAGCATGGAGCCGACTTCCCAGCTTCCTGATGCTGCAAATATCGGGCTAGGCATCGGAGCATTCGGGCGAGTACGAGTACTCGTCCAAATACACAGCATCGGCACCGACACTAGTATCGGTATCGGTGCATCCCTAATTTATACTTTCGTATCTACTCAGTCTCATTAATTTGCAGATCCAAGGGGCGGAGCTTCAACCCGCATATGATGACAGCTAAAGCAACCTGAATGACAAAAATGGCCAGCACGCGAACAGAAAAGGCCCCTTTCACACGGGCTGATCAGGAGTGGATGTGTGCACAGGTCCCCCCCTCCTGATCGGAAGTCACCG